GTTTCGAAAGGTGAAAAAATACCAATAGGAGAATCAGGTGGTCTATACCACGTGGCAACAACAAACGGTTTAGATCTAGGTTTTTGAATTTCCAGACATAGATTTTCAAGAGTGTCCATGTTTAAATCATTTCGTATGGTAAAATTTATTGAACTTTTCACATAGAAACACACTCCTCCTCCACCGTTTGTAATTCTATCACGTCCAATTATATCATAGCCAGAGATGTTGACCTCATTGTCGCTAATAGTTTCATTGAGCTTAGTTTCATTAATCGCTAAAATATCTATTTCGTTATGCGCTAGAAGAATTCTAAGTTGATCTATGTGTGTGATTAATTTATTGATATTTAAAGAGGCTAATTTAAAACCTCGTTGAGATGGCAACACTGAGGTAGGCTCATGAGATTCCTCAGTATTGCGTTTTGTACATTGAATAGGCACGGCATCGGTGGATAGCGCATCATTTCAACCTAAACTCATCTGAAAGTTCTCAAAAAACTGTTGATTACCTTTAAAATTAAGATGTAATCCGCCCTTGTTAAGTTCCTTTTCGGAGATGTTTTGATGCTGGATAAATTTCCATCCATTCTGCCGGCAGTAGGACTTCAGTCGTTTATTAACTGTTTTCACGGCTTCATTGAATCCGTCTCTTCTTGACACGAGCTCAGATATAATTACTCTGGCATCGGATGAGTTTTCAATTTGTCTGGCGAGATCTACCACTGAGCCGGCAACTTGTTGTGGTTCTTTACTTTTGAGATCATTAGTGCCCACATGCAGAATCACTTGGTCCGGTGAAAGCTCCAAATTAGGTTTAAGGTAATCCTTCATAGCTTTGGTGGTGGCACCGGAGAACGATTTAACCACCACCCGATGACCAACGGCTTTTCCTAAACGTGTACCTTGGATATTCTTTATCATAGAGTCTCCAATCAACAAGGTAGTACTTTCGTTTGCTGGCGTGGAATTTTCCGTGTCATCATGGGCGTTGGACTGTGCTTCATTGATCTTCTTTCTCCGTGTTTTGTTCTCTTTCTTTCTCTTTTTCGCGTCAACGGTTTGCCATTCGTTTTCAGGATTAGAGCTCTCATTAGACTGGGCATTATCACTCTTTGAATTTCCTTAAGGGGCAGTTACCTCGTAACTCTGATTCCTCTTTAGTTGACGCTCTCCTACGCTCATTTCCTGCATAATAAGCTTTAATGCTAATTTTAGGGAGTCGTTTTCCTGTTCCGCGGACGATGCACGGGTCTCAAGAGACATAATTTTCATTTTCAGCGCATTAATTTCTTTATCTTTGTTGCATAATACTGCCTGTAGCTTTTCACACCTCCCTTTCTGTTTCATAAGCTCTTCGTTGCCAATATTTTCTTGATTTTGTGGATATCTCGATAAGGAACTTGTATTATCATCGACCTGCTTCTTTAATACCGTCAGGCTGTATTTTATGTCTCTCAGTTCAGCAAATAAAGAATTTTCTGATCCCGAGTCCGCTCCATTATCCGTTGTCTGTTGGTTTTCATTTTGGCTTGTGGATCGATTCGGCGAATCGGTTGTCATCTTCGGCTTGTCCTGAACCAGTTTGAACAATTTTTCTTTTAAAAACGGACCATCTTGTCCTTGGAAAACAAGAGTAAGTTGTTTCTTGAAGTACCAGGTTATAACAAGCTTATCATCTTCCTTTGGACAGTTCTTGAATGACTTAGGGGTATATTGTTTAAAAAGAGTTTGGTCATGTTTGGTGCGGAATATTTGAAGATTTGTAAGTGTGGTGGATAATGTTGTCAGTTGCTGTTGCTACTCCTTAAAAATGGACAACCTCTATTGAGCAATATGGTTTGCGTATTCCTGCATTTCTCCGTTCATTTTTAGTCAGAAATTCAGCTATTTTGTCTTCGGATAGCGGTGAACGCCATCCATTTTTGTTAGTTCACTCGTGAATAAACAGCTAGGCCGCCGCAGCTGGAAACGAGGTTGATCAATGGTCTATTGCCCATGCAAGCCTAGTTTCCAATCAAATATACCATCAAATCGATGGTATATTGCACGCATCTTCCAAGTAGGGTAAGAGCACGTTGGTTGTGAAGAATAAGCCGGGAGCCAATCAGAAACGGCGAAATATTTTAAATAAATAATAATTGAGCCTGCTATCTTCTACTTTATAGACCTTTTTATTTTTTTCCTTCTCGTGCCTGCAAACAATTTATTTCACCTTATATGCCTTTGCAAACAAATTTTTCAGGATTCTTTAAACCACCTGTCCTAAAAGTTGTTGGCCATTCCTCAAGTTGGATCCTGGCATGATGTCTGAATTGAAGTCGTGCTTCTGCTGAATCCAATCGAGTTTGGCACTGCAGAAGCATGACATATGAACCGAACGCCAGTTACAAAAATATTCATGAACTAACTCTCACCGCCGTGAACCGCCACTGCACAGTTGTTTTTTTTGTGGACTTTTAAGCTGAGAACACTGGGGTTAAAATGAAATAAAGAATTCAGTCAACGGGTTTATTTGATTAGCTATATTTTGATGAAGCTAAGATACGGGAATACTTAGTTTGTCTCCATACGTTCGACCTTTCATCCTCACAATTTTAAATGTCAGGTTCAACTGCGCTGCGCTTTTTTGGCGGAAAATCGTATGGCAACCAGCGTTTTTGGTGGGAAATCGTATGTCCACCGGTGTAATAGCAAATTGAAGGAAAGAACAAAGCAAAAACTTTTTTTTAAAATATCAGTGCGCGAATAAAATCCCTGTTTTAAATAATCTGATGAATCTATGGTTGGCCATCCGTTTCAAAATTATGACATCGTGTACGTGGGCTTTTTTGCCGCGTATAATCGTTTATAATCGCTATGTATGGGCTTTTATCCCATATACAACCATTTATATCGCGTATATACGCGTATTTAATACGCGTATATGTGCAAAATCAAATGCACGTCTATACGCGTTGCTAAAAACCCGTATATATGCGTACCTGTCAAAGCCCACGTATACGCGTGCAAAAATGTGCATATACGCGGGGTTCAGAAATCAGAGTTGGTATAAGATGGCACGAAAAGTGCCTCTAACGGAATAGGTTTCATGTATCGTGGCAATGAAAAGTGCCTTTCGTATTGCAAACATGGCTTCCTCTCTAGCTCTTGTAGTGATATGTATCTTGTCAACTAGTTCTTACAGTTCTCCCACAACGGATCTTCTGGAGACGGTTTCTCGTCTATTAAGGGATTGCTCCAGGTTTTATCCACACGCCGATCGAAACATGGCTGAAAACTTGGTAGTCCGCCTTCAGGTAGCTGTCGATTCAGTTCGTCGTTTGGTAGAGTCGTTGGACCCAGACGATCAAGGAAATGATGTCAGAATACCAGAGCTTGAATCACTGTTGAGGCAACTTCAATACTTATTAAACAGATGGGAGATGCTGGCAATAAGAGCAAGTTCTTGCACGACAGTTCGCCCCATAAGGAGTTTGCATAAGTGCCAAAATAAGTTGCCGAGTTTCCAAGTAGAGATCCACCCCATAGTTATCACTCACTGACAGAGGTTGAATATGAGAAATAGCTCCAAGTTCTGTGTCAGTTAATGGAATGTTTGTATCTGGTACATCAACACTACCCAGGTCAAACTCATTTGGTGCAGGTCCTGTTGGATCTTCACCATATAACTCATCTGGCTGGCTGTTGTCATGAAATATGTCCCTGACTGCAGTATTCCCAGAATTATCTTGTGAAATAACACCATTTACCCAGATTTGGCAAGGAGTCCAATGACCTTCTGTGCATACAGGATGATTATTCCATGCTTCAACTAGGAGATTTAACTGGTGGTTTATTCTTGGAAGAAATATGTAATGTAAACAGAACAGATCTATGACACTTGTTGATTCCAGGATACCATTTTCTTCCATTTGGTAAAACAGAGTGTAGAAGAAGTGACCAACTCCTATAAAGACATCTCTCCACAGTCGCTCAATCCTTTGATTGTGTACAGAGAGTCCAGCAATCATGCTTCCCCTGTTCAACCCTCTGTGCCTTAGCATAGCTCTTGCTACGTCTAGATTTTCACCCCCTTTGTCTGAACGTACTCTAGAGGGTCATCCATATCTCTGCACAGCTGCTAAGAAGAGGGCAAGCACAGTCGAGGCATAGTTATTTGTAGCACAACTTAAATACACTATAAGTCTGGAAAACCCATCGATACCTCCATGTATGACGAACCTCCAACGGATGAGACAATGCAGTCCATCAATGTGCCAGAGAGAATTAGGTCCTCGGACACTGTAAACACGCCTTGTGATAGTGTTAAACCACCTCATTGCACTCCCTGCAGGGTCAGTTCGAACCAAACTTTCCCTAACACGCTGACGCTGCACAAAAATATTTCTACTTCGCAAATGTCCCAGCATCATACTGATACCAGAATTTGGAAATCCTTGTCTTAAACCTCGAATTAATTCATCTAAATCTGAATCCGTGATGGCTGTATAATGATGTCGACTGGAAAATGACTCCAGGTTTCTAATTCTTCGCCAAAGAGTAGTTCTAGAAACTAATAACATTCTTGATATCTGGGACCAATTAAATCTCATTCTGTTTCTTAGAAACTCCAACTGATGTGTAGAAATTTCGTAGGCCGGACGACCCGCTCTTTGATTTATAGGACCTGACAAACCTGGCAAAGTCCTTATGGGGCGAACTGTCGTGCAAGAACTTGCTCTTATTGCCAGCATCTCCCATCTGTTTAGTAAGTATTGAAGTTGCCTCAACAGTGATTCCAGATCTGGTATTCTGACATCATTTCCTTGATCGTCTGGGTCCAACGACTCTACCAAACGAAGCTAAACGACGAACTGAATCGACAGCTACCTGAAGGCGGACTACCAAGTTTTCAGCCATGTTTCGATCGGCGTGTGGATAAAACCTAGAGCAATCCCTTAATAGACGAGAAACCGTCTCCAGAAGATCCGTTGTGGGAGAACTGTAAGAACTAGTTGACAAGATACATATCACTACAAGAGCTAGAGAGGAAGCCATGTTTGCATTGCGAAAGGCACTTTTCATTGCCACGATACATGAAACCTATTCCGTTAGAGGCACTTTTCGTGCCATCTTATACCAACTCTGATTTCTGAACCCCGCGTATGTGCACATTTTTGCACGCGTATACGTGGGCTTTTACAGGTACGCATATATACGGGTTTTTAGCAAAGCGTATAGACGTGCATTTGATTTTGCACGTATACGCGTATTAAATACGCGTATATACGCGATATAAATGGTTGTATATGGGATAAAAGCCCATACATAGCGATTATAAACGATTATACGCGGCAAAAAAGCCCACGTACACGATGTCATAATTTTGAACCGGATGGCCAACCATATGAATCGGCCGATTTTTTACTCATTCGGTGGCTTCGACTGATTCCTAAATATAAATTGTGTAACACAGTTAGCGATCAATTATTTGGAGAAACCATATTTTCAGAACTAACAGTTTTCCCTCATTTCTGTTTCGGAGATGTTACAAACGCCATGACTAGGCAATATCAACTTGAATCTGATCACCTCTGGTGGTTATGGCATTGAAAACCGTGCACTTAAGTAAAAGTAAGATTGTGGTCGTCAGGGGGTAATGTAAGCCGGGTAAGTATGTCACATTCGAACCCCCACTAACGGCCACCACTCTACAACGGCCACTTTATTTTGTCCAAGCGGACAGTCCATTCATTGACTCTTATTTAAACCTCTCCATAACGGCAACGACCACTGAAGCGTGTCCCCTACTGCCAAAATAACGTCTCGACAAAGGCCAGTTTCTTCAGCGACTGATGAAAAAGTCAAGAGTGGTCATGAAATTTGATTCGTATGGCACAACGGTAATTAATCGGGGCAATCGTATTTTGATTTTGTTTCATTTATACCGCTGCAGTAAGCATAAATTGTCTACGATACTTGTAGAAAATGTTGCGAACTTTTCTCGTTTTGTCACGTTAACATATTGCTTCAAAACATAATTAAAGCTTTCGGCGTATTTTATTTCCATATATTATTTATGTTTGGATTATTACCATTATGGGATACAGTAAGCATGAACTTGGCACAATAAACATGTTGTACTCCCTAAAAAAAATTGTCATTTTACACCCCTAACTCCCGATAATGGCCACCTTTTCACAACGGCCACTTTCCTCTGTCTCCAAGGTGGCCGTTTTGGAAGAGGTTCGACTGTATTAATGTAAGGAATAGTGTAAAGTTAAAATTAAGTAGATTTTTACTTTTTTTTCTTTGTTAAGAGTAAACAGTCAGTTTTATGCTGGAGCTCCTCTTGTAGGCTTGTCTTAATTTTAGTCACTGTCGATCACTTTCATATTATATTGTATTTTTTTGCCATGTAGGTAAATGTGGTGTTGTTTTTTATTCTCATTCGTGTAATCTTTGGGAAAATAGCCTCCAAGTATGGAAATAACCGTGTGATCGCCGCCAAGTAAGGAAACATCCGCTATTAACTAGAGATTAGGCAGACTTTGATTTCGTAACAAATCACTCAACCAATCAATTGTTCAAGTGTCTAGTATACAAATGAACTAAAGAAAACGTGAAGAATAACCAATGAACGAATTAATGAACGAATGGATGGATAAATGGAAGCCACGGGTGGATGGGCGGATGAATAGGGGGATAAATGGTGGAGAAATGAAATTTAACCTTATTTAGGATAATTACGTAATTTTTTTAGTTATATAACCTGCACTAAAATGGAGGGTGGTCAGGGTGGAAAATAAGGTAAGAAAGAAATAAAAAAGCAACAGATAGAAACGGAGCAATACATTAGTAATACATTAGCGATTGATCATATATTGAAATCTGAGTTATTTCTTGTGCGTGCATATGTTTCGTTAAATCGAATGTACAATGAAAGAACTGAAAAGGACCAGAGAATAAATACACTAATTAGTTAAGAAACGAATGACCTTTTTGTACCAATTGCTGCATTTCGTCATTACAGGAAAAGGTTAAGAAGCACAATCGCTCTCCTTCCATTGCTTGGTGTCACGTGGCTGGTGGGCTTTTTTATTGAGCTTCATTTTGCTGTGGGATACCTGTTCCTTTTGCTCAATTCAAATCAGGTGACTGGTACACCTGTTCATTTTCCCACTTAGTTGAAACTAGGTTAAATTAAGGGTCTGTGTCACGGCTATATTCGTTCATTTAGTTCATATTGCCAATTACACGTCCTTGTATGCTATGGAACTTAACGTAAACGAAGAAAATACTTGCCAGGGACAAATCACAATTTCTTGTCCAACAAATATACTTCCCAAGCATTACACTAAAGGTTACAAAGAACAATAATGAACTTTGAAAAACTGTTAGGCTGATAAGATTTCGAAAACCCACAGTTTCAATCCGGCTTTAATCTTCTTCAAGTTTGTCCATCCTTGCCTTCTTTTCAGTGTATTTGCTGTGTGTATGTGTATGTGTATGTGTATGTATATGCATATCATAAATAAATCATTAATGCCTTGTCTTAATGTCTTGCGCGATTATTTCAATGTTTCACTCAATTTGGTGACAGTTTCCGCTGTTAGAATTTTGTTAAAATTCTTGACACAGCTCCTTTAAGTTAGATTCACATCATTTTTAATGTAATAGATGTATGGAACTGTATCGGGCCCTGATAAACATCATTTGGATCAAATCCGTTTTAAACTCGAGTGCCCAATATGAATATAATTTGAACCTATGGCTATTCAGATCGGCCTTTTTGGTCTTCTGGGAACAAAAAGTGCTTTGAAAGCAACACTCATGCTACGACTATAGAGTGTGACATCGATCAGAAGAGCTCGGTAAATTCATTGAAAAGACCTCCCCTCCATGGAAAAAGGTCATGCTATGTAACTGTTACGTGATTATTCTTGAATGACTGCAAATGACTCTATTTCTGACATCTACTAAGATGAAGTGATCGTATACCTCAAATCTGGGCATGGCCCTTCAAAAAATAACCGCCGTGAAAAGTTAACATTTGATGGGTATATCTTGCTCAAAAATCATGTTGGCTGATCTCTTGAAATAAAGATAATCAAATTACAAATAACGATTAGTGAGAAATTCGTATGCAAAACGTATCTCTTAACGGGATTTTAAAAAGTAAGGGAAAATTTGGTATGCGTACAAACTGCGGATTTCTTTATGTTGTTACATGAAATGCAAAAGAGGAGTTTAATAGCATATTCTTTTGTTCTTTAACAGGGAGTCGTAATTGCTATATTTCATTGTTTTCTTGATGACGAGGTAACGAGACATCCTCCATTTATAACTTTCGTCTTTGAAAAACTAAGTATCAGTGGATCAGTGGGGAAACTGGCATTAAGGGTGGTGAAGTGGTGAGAGCAATCGCCTCCCTCCTACCAACGTGGCCCGGGTTCGAATCCTGGCGTCGATGCCATATGTGGAGTTGAGTTTGTTGTTGGTTCTCACCCTTGCCCCGAGAGGATTTTTCTCCGGGTACTCCGGTTTTCCCCTCCCCTTAAAAACCAATACTTCCACTTATCAGTTTTTTGTATCGACTGTTTGACATAAATAAATATTACAGCGTTGTATCGCGCTGCGAGTATTGCAAACTTCGAAGCGATTTTGGGTTTTTCTGTTCCGTCAATCATTTTAATGAAAATCACAATGTAACGTGCTCGCCCAGCTTGGCTGAGAATGACTCTAGACCGCCAAGAATAGCAAAGGAAATTGTGATGGTGAGTGGAGTTTTTGTCGAATGAAGGAGGCAGACGAAACAGGACGATCACAAAGCAACGAACCTTGAAACGCGAAACAAACAAAACGGATCGAAATCCACCAATCACGAATCATAAACCCTCACCTTTTGAACTCCTACTGGTAAACATGTGTTTCCTAAGAGGTCCGCCAAGATGATTGACGAAAGAGAAAAACCCAAAATTCCTTCGAACAGCGCGATACAACGAATTTCGCTATAAATGTTACGAATTGATACAGAAGTATCTAGTGGGTCAGTTGATTAGCTGATTAGTTTGTTAATATGAGTTTTCACCATATATGTGAGGATCCGAGCATCTGAGATTAATCAAAGTGCCATCGTTTTCAAAGGAAGACGTTAATGTATGACGCTAAACTCAAAGTGGTAAGCTTACAGCTTTTTTAAGAATCGGATTAATTGTTTGGTTTGGCTTAGTGAGAACACCAATAGTCTTGATTTTATATATTTCATTCATCTTATTTAAATTTTGCGAGGAACGTTTTTCTAGCTCTAAAAACATCATTAAGTAGCCATCCAAAAACATTAAAACTCACCTTAAATCACCTAGGTTCAAGATGCCATGCGCAAATTTTGTTCCCGCCTCAGTGGACATACTAACTTCAGGAATGGTGATACGCCTGCACCCAACGCACACCCGACAGAAACTCCGGAGTTAACTTGTCGCAGCATTCAGGTATGTTACACTTGGGGATCGTCATCACCATGGGTACAATGAGATGTAGAGCAAGGTTTTGTTCTTACTTCTAACCAAGAAACTGCTAAGACGGGTGACGCAGAAGAAGCTTGATTAAGTCCTTGGAGGTAGCCAAGAATCAATACAGTTTGCTCTGCATTGAACTGATTCACCGATTGATTGCGTAGAGGGAACGCTACCTAAATAATAATAATAATAATAATAATAATAATAATAATAATAATAATAATAATAATAATAATAATAATAACAATAAAAAAATTGTAACCTTTCGGTAGCAACAAAAAATATAA